TGTCCGCTGCAAGCAGCTCTGCAGCACTTGTCATCTGTCGTGCCAGGAAGCTCAGCGGGGTTGTTCTTCCACAGGTAGTCTGCTGGACATTCGTGCCCGCTGCAAGCACGTTTGCATTGGCCGTTGATGGCAACTTCGTGGGAGGAGCAACTGTCCCTGCATTCGCCGTTCCTCGCAGTTACGCTTCGGCAATGCAGGCACCGCTTGTCGCTTGCCCCATTGCAGCCCACGCATTGCGGGTGGCATGCCTTGCCAATGAGCAGTGGACTTCTGGCCTCAGCGCACTGGCTGCCTTTGCACCTTTGCCAACCCGAAAGCTCTTTGAAATCGTCGGAAGGCTCATCAAAGGGGAAGGCGGTGCTGGCGTTCAGGAGGAAGCGGAGCTTTCCATTTTCTCGAAGAGCCCATCCATCAAGCTCCTCGCTAAACGAGATGGTTGCCTTCGCTTTGGTGCCGTTGTCGAAAGGCTCCACGAGCTCCAAGACCGGACGGCCATGATGGACTCGTTGCCTGCGCTTCGCAGAAAACAGGAGGCCCCACCTCGTCTCCTGGACCTGAGGCCAGCGCCAGGTCCCTCGGAAGGGATGGTCTTCCAGTGAAGTGAGGATGAAGCTTGTGTAGTCGGGCAACGCGTGCACCTTGCCGCCCTGCCCGGACCATGTCCGCACCTGCGTTGGGCTCATGGAGGTCGGCGAGACGCTGCCACTTGCGACGTCTTTTAACTCCTCGACACTCTCTGAGTAAAAGGCCGGCATTTTTCTGCTCAGGAGCCATTGGTCTTCTGTGGCTTCGACGCTACGGTTGTGGTGGTAGAACAAGTTCATGCCGCCACCAGCGCGCTTGTACAAGGGCCGCTTCTCAGAAAAGCCTGCAAAGGTGTAGATGCCGTTCGCTTCAGGGCTGAACCCGTCCACGACCAGCGTCTGCTCAACCTGGGGCCTGCAACAGAAGCTGTCAGAGATCACCTATAGACCAGCAATAGACCAGCTATTCGGGGCTTTGGGGCGGCGCTTGCGAGGCCTCTGGCGTCCCAGCAGCCAGACTCTCCAGGTGCCAAGCAGGAACATGAAGAAAAGGAGCCTTTCATGTGGGGGTTTAGGGCTCACATTGGCAAGAGTCGGCAGCGGCACTAAGTTGTGTACCACATTCTGCCACCAGGACACACGCAGCAGACTTCTTGGACCTTCTTGCTGGCAGCGGGTTCCCGTGATGACACCTGACAGGCTGCAACCAGACGCAGAGAGGGGGGACGGGGGGGCAGCACGGGCAAAGCCTCCTCTTTGCGGAGCAGCCTGTAGTCTCTGGACTCCTGAAAAGCTCTTCAAGCTGTCCTCAGGCCCTAAACCCTAATAAACCCTAAACCCTGAATCCTAACGCTGTCAGGCCCGCCCGGTCCTCGCAGGAGTTGGCAAAGTCCACCAATGTCCAGAGGAGCCTTACGGCTTCCGAGCTCGGGCTTTAGGGTTCGTTGAGGGTTTATAAGGCTTTTAGGGTTCAGGGTTTAAGGTTTAGGGTTCTGGTTCAGCGCTCTTGGGTGTTTTTGGGGGATTCGTTGAAACATGCCGGTGGGGTTGCAGTTTCAGAGAGGTTTTGGGTCTTCGTCGGAGCGGCCGCAGAAAATCCGGCATGGCCAAGCAGATCAGCATCCGAGTCGACACTTCGAAGTAGTCGAGCTTGAACAAGAAGGCAATCAGTGCCAGGACGGCAACTCGACAGAGAAATCCTCCACCTGGGCACAGGGCAGGACAGGACGCGAGCATTTCGGGCTTTGAAAACCGGAAAGGCCTGGGCTTGGAAAACCGGAGAAAAAAAAAAACCCTGCCTGCACCCACGTGGATCCCGGCATCGAAGCTGTGCTTCCGACCATCCCGGCGCTCGTCTCCCAGCCCCTTGCCTTGCCAGCCATAGAGGCGCGCCAGAGACTCGGACGCAAAGGTGGCCGGCAGGATGAAGACGGCCGGGTTGAAGAGGAAGAGCACGGGAAATCCTCGTAGGTGCTGCAGATGCTCCCTCTCGCAGCGCAGCATGGCGAGCTGGCAAAGCACGTGGACCAGGAAAAAGCCCAAGTGCAAGGTCAAGAGGATCTCCTGGATCAGCTCGTCGCCAATCGCAGCGCAGAGGTAACAACGGCAGAGCAAGGAGGCGAGGCCTAGTAGGTCGACCACCAAGTTCATGCTCCAGAGATCTCGAAAGGCCGCATCTTCACATCCAGCAGCTGCCTCTCTCTTCTCGGGGGGGGTGGGATCCCCATCGTACAGAAGTTGCTTCACCACTTCACCAACTACTGTCGCGTAAAAATTGAAGGTTGAGCCGGCGAGGCTCAGCCATTGGATGACCTGCAGGGACTCGCCAATCTGTAATTGACGGTAGACGATGTACAGCTGGAAGGCCGTCTGGATAACGTCCTCATAGAACCGCGGCACCAGTGCGACGCTCTCTAGCTGCGATTTCAGGCTGTAGAGTTCTTGAAGAAGCTCGACTTTGCTCAAAGACTCGCCCTGGAGCTCCTGGAGGTCGGAGGCGCTGGCGCCCTCCGTGAGCTTGATGGCGTGCTCGATCGGGATGCGCTGGCACCCGGCATTGAAGAAGGAAACCAGGTCCAGGAGGCGGACAGCCTTTGGCCCGAACTCCGCCCGAACGAGGCGCCAGCCGGGCCCGCTTCTCAGGTATACCCAGAGAAAGAAGAGGATCAGGTTCAGCCCCATCACGGTCAGCAGGTGGAAGTTCAAGATGCCCACAAAATAATGGATGGTCTCGTTTGGGATGGAGCGCAAGGCGAGATTGTTCCAAATGTCGGAGACCACATCGTAAACCTCCAGACCGGTCAGGGCAAGGCTGGTACCTCACTTTCAAGTGGAGATGCAGGCACTGCACTGGAAGCTCAGGCCAACCTCACAACAGAGAAGCATCGTGACCTGATGCCAAGCCACCCCAGATCCATTGCGACGATGCCATGGCTCAGCGAAACACTGATAACCGTGGGGCAAGGCTAACCACCAGACTTCTCACCGCTTCGGAGTGAAACCTCAAAGCGAAATCCCAAAAGCAACCTACACGGACCTGCAGAATGCATTCAAGCCCAACACCAGACCTCTTGAACTAGAATTGTAAACAAGCCCAAGCCTTGAGCCCTAGACCATAAACATTCCACCTTCAAACCCTACCTAAATTACTAAACTACTAAAAAGTAGGTAAGTCTATTCTTCTACACACTTTTGGCGTCCAGGTAGGCATTCCTCTTCTAACCTGGCTGCACTTAAGCATTCAAGCCGACTTTGCGACTTGAGGCGGCCGGCGTCAAAGTTCCCCTCATGGTACCAAGGCACATGCGGTATGGCGGCGTAGGCCTGCTAGGAGATCCTGGGGTCTATAGTCTATAGAGTTTCGACCGGTTTAAGGCTTCTAGACTTCTTTAGTTTAGGGGTTTGCGGGCTTCTCCTCCGCCGTGGCTTTCCGAAGCATGGACCATTTATCGCCTCGCACTTAGCCCGCCGGCACGATCTTTTCACACAAACGGTTTCTTGCATAGCCGACGACCATGGCGGCGTCTTGAAATTTCCCCAGAAGCCTGCAGTTCGCGGATGTGCAGATCTTTCAACGCGACGCAAAGCACACGGACGGGGCTCACACCTCCTAGAACTCCAGCGGAACGCGGGCTGCCGCTTCCACCTCAGCTAAGGCAGCTACGGCTTGGGGTTAGGTTTCGAACAGACTGCAAGCGAAGGATGAAGCAGGAAACGCCATGCTGCAAGTTGCGGTGCTCCAAGGCATCTCGGCAAGTGAGGTCAAACCGGCGCGATGGACATCGGAAGGGCCTTGACGAGGAGCCTGGAACCTCTTGAAGACTGCGGCATCCGCAGCACGCTGACCTCACGGCACCTTCCGACCAAGACCCAACCAGAAGCTGCCCAGCAATGCGCACGCCGAAACTGTCCGATCTCAGGGGCAGGCCGATGAAGGAGGACATCACCCATAGACCCAAGGGCTCGAGGCCTCAACAGCATCACGACACATATAGCGGTTGGAGCCGAGGTCAGCAGAAACAGGCGTCCTCGGCCTGCACACCCAGGAGCTTTCTGCGGCGGTGTCCTTGCAAGCATGCTGATCGTGCCATGCAATCCCGCGTGCGGTTCAACTCTGAGGGATAGGACCTCAACCGAAGTTGGATGCGAAACGATCACGCTCCTGCGCAGACGATGCCAAGCTATGAAGCAGACTCACATGCAACCTGCCCTGCACAGCAGACCCACTCCTCGAACGACCTCAGGTATCGAGCTCTTCCCAAGAAGCCAAGATTGAAGCCAAGGCTCTGGCCAAGTCCTCCACCTTGACTAAGTCTACATTCCCATCATGACGGTTCCTGCGTCTGCGAGGACTTCAACTCCCAGCATGGTGCTGTCTACACCCACCGGGTGGCCCACGAAGAATCGAAGCTGGAATCCGGCGCAGAACCATGACATCTCACGGACGCCTACCTGAGACAAGTGCAAAACATCTGCCAAAGGGGACTCTAGCGATCTAAGGGCTAATCGTCAACGTTGACCGATCCTGTGCCTCACTGGGCTGGAGTGTTGTCAGTGTTGTGGACTCCTGAAGTCATGCTGCGAAACTGTGTCCCTGGTCTACCTGTTTCAGAAGGTCAAACTTCAAAGCAAGCACATTCAAATGACGTGAAAGTCCTCCAGACTCACAACTTTTCTGCATCACTGCTGCGGCACCTCGAATCATGGATCCGATTCCTAGATCCTACTCACGGAAGCACGCCTCCAGAAATAGAAGCAGCAAAGTGCCCACTTGCAATCATCGCGCCGCTGAGAACAGAAATGAGTTAGTGAACAAGGGAGTGGGTGGTGTGAGTGGAGTGCTGGTCCTGGTACTGTTGCTTAGGAGAGCAGATGAATCGAGCGAGCAGGCGCACCGGCACCTTGGCCCAGCTTAAGCTGAGCTCGCGCGTGCAAAGTGAGAGATTGACTTAG